CATTGATCTCATCGATGAAGTCAAGGTTCTAAAGGACCGAGCTCCAGACAGCCATCCAAGAACAAAAAATTTAGTCTCAATAACTCATCAGTGAGACTCACATGGCCTATGAACCGGGTTACTTTGTTCTTCACGATACAATCAAAGGTTTGAGACGATCACTTACAACAAAAGAAAGTGTTGATGAAATCCTTCGTCTTACCATGATACCCATCTAATAGATCACTACAGCATAACAACATTCTATATACCAGGATACAAATCTAATAGTTCACTACAACATAACAACATACTAAATATCAACAATCCAGAGAATGCATAACCATATATACATAGAGGTGAGATAGGCACCCGGATAGGTGATCCTACTCTAGAACCACAACTGAACGAGTAACAGGTAAAATAGCCTAGATCAAGAGTCCTCAATCTATCCTACATGACTATATACAGTCCCTAAGACATCCCTCTACTAACAGATAACCAAAACTAGTGAGCCGTTATTGGTTTCGTCGACCCACGGGTACAATAAGGTGAAACTCACCTGAAATGAAGAAACCCGAGAACACCGTGATACGCTCCCCGCTACACTGCTTTCAACTACAGATCCACTAGCATCAAGAACCATGTAAAATATTAATCACCAATCAAAACCCTCAAGTTTTACCTAAATTCAAACTTGGTCAAAAATTCAACGGTCAACGGAGTTAACAAAAGTCAAAGTCTAAGGCTGGATGAGTATTCCCTGCTTACTCAACTTACGCCCAACATACATGGGATGGCTTATTACGCCCAATGTACGAAAATTACCCCCAACGTACTCGGTTTGATTCCATCCTTTCTATTAAGCACTTAATCCATTAAGGACTTTTCACCCAAACTCAAATCTAGCCTCTAAACGTTGTCTTAAGTGATAAAGTTTCCACCTTTATGACTTTCCATGGCTAGGGAAGGTCCAAAAGCTAAAACCATAACTTATTAATCCATTAAGACATCACAACTCTTGCATGGAAGGATAGAAGGACCAAGATCACATTTTTATGGTTCCTAATAGCTCTATAATGGATAAAGTTTCCACCTTTATCCATTAGAATGGTCCCAACAAAAAAGATCTAGTATTTAAGTCATAAAGGGACCAAAAGTGCATCTTTTTCAACTTAATCCATTAAATCCAAGTCTCTAACCTTCATATATGAATAAATATGATGTTTATATGGATAAAGTTTCCAGCTTTATCCATAACAAGGTTACAAACTTCCAAGATCTAAACATTATGCACTTAAAGTGACCAAAAGCTCATAACACCCAAAACTAGCTAGATCTAACAATTTCATCATCAAGATTCAAACTTTATACCTCTAGAAGAAAGATCAAGGTGAAGAAGGTCTGTATCTATAAGCTCCAATGCATCCAACGCTTCTTAAATGAGTTCCGTCTTCTCCAAGGTGCACCAAGGACACTCCAAAGCACATAAAAACACCTTCTTTTTGCTCACAAGGCTCAAACTAGGGTTAGGGTTTCAAGAGATGGTGGTGGAGAAGTGGAGGCTGAGAATGGAGTGAGTTTGGGGAAGTTAAAGATCTTAGATATGGCTCAAACAATGAAAATAGGTTTTCGACACTGATTGCATACACCCACCGTACTCAATTTATGCCCAACGTACAAGGGATGCCCCAGTACGCCCAACGTATGCGATTAACCCAAAAATCGTCCTAACTTCAAACGGTCGTAACTTATTCGTTCCAACTGTGTTTTCGACGTTCTTTATATCCAAAGAAAGGTATTGAAGAGCTCTACAATATTATCTAAATATATTGGGTTAAAAGCTTATCGAATAAAAATCCATATTTCATGAAAGAACCTGACCTATAACTTTTTCTGTTCTACCCTTCGGCCCAAAACACAATTCAAAGGTTTAGATCTCATAACCATCATTGCCTACTTCAAAAAAGATCTAAACATTACATCCTTAAGGCCTAAAGCCTTCACATAATTGACTTCTGTCTAACGATCCTGAAATAAGAAATGACGGGACACAGGATGTTACATATTAGGTTACTAACAACATGATTTTTTTCTATATGCATTTTACCATTAAATTTTACATAATTTATTAAAAAAAAACACTATTTCGAAAGCTACATCTATTTTAATATGAATATATATATATTTTTACTTATAGATAAAATGTTTTTTTCTGACAATTTTTTTGTCTTAATTCCAATTACCGGTCAAAACGTTTTATTTTAACGATCCGGATAACATACGTCATTTTTCTAGTATATCTTTCGAAAGCTACATCTATTTTAATATGAATATATATTTTTACTTATAGATAAAATGTTTTTTTCTGAAATTTTTTTTGTCTTAATTCCAATTACCGGTCAAAACGTTTTATTTTAACGATCCGGATAACATACGTCATTTGTCTAGTATATCTAATGATATATTTTTTGATTACATACCCATCACTTCTACAAATCTAATTAATCGATGTCATATAATTTGATGATGAAATCAATAGTGATTCAGAGGTTCATGGCTAGTTTTCTCAAACGGGTGAAATGAAGCAATTCGGTGACAATGATTGCCATTTCACAAGTGATTATCGATCAAGAAAATCACTTCATATGAAGTATATTGTGCGACTTATATGGTTTATCAAAATTTAGTTCCTATGATTAAAGGCAAGTCTAATTTTTTTTGTTAGCTCATTGTTAATTGCTATGTTTTGGATTTGTTTGGTTATGTGGAGTCCTTTTATGAATCATTTTTATATAAAGGTGGAGTCTCATATTGCACACCTCACAATTTGAGTATGTGGAGTCCTAACAACAACAACAACAACAACAACTTACTCTCTTATATATAGATATACATTTTAATACTGAAACAATAGAACATTTTTAAGTTTTATATAAACCACAATTATTTAGTTTTAAATTAAGGGATATCTCCAGAAAAATCTTAAAATTTTAGGTCAATTTATGAAAAAGTCACAAACTAAATTTTGTTTACAGAAAAGTACAGAATATGGGTTAAAACTTCAAAAAAACCCTTTTTGGGCGGTTTCGCAGATTTAGCCGGTATTCTGACCTTTTCGTTAGTTCGCTCAAAATTTTGGGACTTTTCCAAAAATTACTTGATAACCAAAATATGGGGACTTTTCTGAAAGTTACCATAAATTTAATGGATATTATTATTAACAAATCATTTATAAACATAAAAAATATTTTAATTATAAAAAAGAAGATATATTTGTTGTTAATTTCTAGGAATAAATTGGTTGTCTAAGTACTCATCTATTGCTTGCTGACCACTCAAACTCTTTATGTTCCTTCTATGTATTGTTGTCGATATGATGGTGAGATGTACTCAGTTAGTGTTCCTTTAATATTGATGTTCATCTTATGTTGTTTAACCTAACTCCCACTCAACATCCATACCTCATATGTTCACAACCATCAGCTAACACACATCTATCAAATGCGAAAAATGATCCATGAATGATAGTTTATATAGAAACAAGTGAAAGGTGATTATCTATTTAAATTGTCATTCAAAGTTTACTTTTCACTCTCGATAGATATGTGTAATTTGATGGTTGTTACCGGGTAATGTATGAAGGTTGGGTGGTAATTAGGTTAAATAACATAAAAAATATCTATATGTTAAAGAATCGTTGTGTAATGATATTTTCTAATAACATGTGATCATATAGCGTTATGCTTGATAGCAAGTCGACACTTATCGATTGTGTATTAATAAATATTATTAAATCTTGTATTGGTCACATTTAACAAGTTACTTCTTACTATGACACAAACAACGATACATAGGAGGAATATAAGGACTTTGAAGTGGTCAACAAACAATAGGGAAGTACATAGTTGACCATTCTATTCCTAAAAATTAGCTAAAAATATATTTCCTTTGTTTATAATAAAAAAAATTATATGTTTATAAATGATTTATTAATAATAATATCCATTAATTCTATAGTAATTTTCAGAAAAGACACAATATTTTGGTTATCGGGTAATTTTCAAAAAAATCATAATATTTTGAGCAAACTAACGAAAAAGAACAGAATACCGGCTAAATCTTTGAAACTGGGTAAAAATGGTTTTTTCGAAGTTTTAGCCGGTATTCTGTGCTTTTACGTAAACAAAATTAGTTTGAGACTTTTTCATAAATTAAACTAAAATTATAGGATTTTTCTGAAGATTTCCTTTAAATTAATATTATATTATATTATATTATATTAATTTATGGAAACATAAAAGATAGATAAAGAGATTTATTTAACAACATTGTATTCTTATTTACTGAGTTAATAATGTTTTAAAATAATCAATTATTTAAATATTTCATTTTAATTATGTTATATAAAATATTATAGATTAAAGATTAACTTTTGTAGTATGTAGACATGTAAGATTTTGGATTTATGTAGTCTAAACAATAACAACACTCCAGAATATGCATAAGATATTAAAAAAATATGATGTTTTAGACTCAATATACATTTTTATTAGGCCATTTAAGACAATCACTTTATTTATGATAGTAAATTTTGTTAATATCCATAACTTTATTCAAATGCAAATTGCAAAATGTTTAATATTATATTGTTGGAGATTAGCCATCTTGAATCCTATTAATTTGAATTTTATTTTACAATCGAAATATATTCATCTGTTAACTTCTAAATTAGTTAAAAATAATAATTAAAATACATTTAATTGATAATTACAATTAACTTTATATAAAATCAAAAGTAGCATTAACTTAAAAATAATAATAAATTTCATTGAGTTAATTGTTCGATTGAATCTGAAAAAAAAAAAAAATGAAAATGTTGTTTTAAAATAATTCCAAGAATAAAATTATATAAAATAATATAGCATAATTTATGTATCGAAACCCGTGGGTAGACGGTCACCAAAATCATCATGTATTTCACGATAAAGATTTATATTTGTAACAAAACTAATTTATATTTTGTTTTATATACTTACAATCTTCTTTAAAATTTCAAATATTATTATTAAATTTTCAAAATCATTTAACATGATTATTTAATAAAATATATAAACATTTGTCTGTATCGATTCTCCGGGAACACAGAGGCCATCCATTCGTTAAACTTGTTATATAAAGTATGTGCTCATAACTGCTAGTGAACAAACAAAACACCCTGTTTCCATCCACCTCACAAATATCATCAACAAAATCCAACCAGATCAAAATCAAACCTCACACTCTTCCTCAAATGTTAAAGGAAAACCCAGTTCAAGAATTACAGTTGCAAAATCCAAATCCAAATCAAAATCCCCCAAAAATCTTAACTACCATGGCAGCAAACTCGCCGACCACCACAAGGAAAGAAGGTGAGTTTCTCCTCCTTGGCCGATACGAGATCGGAAAGCTTCTCGGACATGGGACCTTCTCTAAAGTCTACCTCGGTCGTAACGTGAAAACCAATGAATTTGTCGCCATTAAAGTGATCGATAAAGAACAGATCTTGAAAGGCGGATTAATCTCCCACATAAAACGCGAGATCTCGATCCTCCGCCGTGTTCGCCACCCAAACATCGTCCAACTCTTCGAGGTAATGGCAACAAAAGCTAAAATATTTTTCGTTATGGAATACGTTAAAGGCGGTGAGTTGTTCAATAAAGTTGCTAAAGGTAGATTAAAAGAAGAAATCGCTAGAAATTATTTCCAACAACTCATTTCTGCTGTAGGGTTTTGTCATGCTCGTGGTGTTTTCCATCGAGATTTAAAGCCTGAGAATATATTACTAGATGAAGATGGTAATTTGAAGGTCTCCGATTTCGGATTAAGCGCCATTTCTGAGCAAATCAGAGGCGATGGTCTGTTTCATACCTTTTGTGGAACGCCGGCGTATGTTGCGCCGGAGGTTTTAGGCCGGAAAGGGTACGAAGCTGCGAAAGTCGATATCTGGTCATGTGGGGTTATCTTGTTCGTTTTAATGGCTGGTTATTTACCATTTCATGATCAAAACGTTATGGTTATGTATAAGAAGATTTACAGAGGGGAATTCCGTTGTCCACGGTGGTTCTCGCCGGAGTTATCCCGGCTGTTAAAACGACTCCTTCAAACAAACCCAGTAACCAGAATCACAATACCGGAGCTCATGGAGAATCGTTGGTTCAAGAAAGGATTTAAGAACATAAAATTCTATTTAGAAGATGATAAATTGTTTAGCGTGAAAGATGAAGACTTTAAAGACGACGATATCGATTACTCATCCGATCAATCTTCACGACCCGAATCACCTACCGAGGTTGACACCAGAAAGCGTCTCACCACCATGCCCAGACCTGCGAGCTTGAACGCATTCGATCTAATTTCTTTCTCCCCTGGGTTCAGTTTATCTGGGCTTTTCGAAGACGCCGGAGAGGAGTTACGTTTCGTCTCCGGCGCCACCGTGCCACACATCATTTCGAAGCTCGAGGAGATCGCAAAAGGGGTGAGTTTCAAAGTTAGGAAGAAGGATTTCCGGGTAAGTTTGGAAGGATCAAGGGAGGGAGTGAAAGGTCCGTTGACGATCGGAGCTGAGATATTTGAATTAACACCAAATTTAAGAATGATTGAAGTAAAGAAGAACGCCGGAGACAAAGGGGAATACGATGAGTTTTTTGATCGTGAACTCCGGCCGGGATTGCGTACTCTGATGTTGCCGGCGCCTATCTCCGGTGAATCTTCGGTTTTGCCGTCTGAGACTGAATCACTGAAATGATTTTGGTTGTATTAGCGAGTGCCACGTGCCAAAGCCTTGGCGCTTATTGACTGTGGAAACATATATAGGTTCGAGTTCCACATTAAAAGCAGTAAAAAGTTGTTGTATTTTAGTGTATATCTCGATGTTGAATCCTTGTTTTTTCAATTTCTATGACTTGTAACGTTTCTTTGATATTTGGAGTTGGGTAGAATATGTTATGGCTTTTTAATAATTGAAAGTATTGGAAGTGGAAGGTGATTTCCATAATCTAATGATAGGAAATAATAAAGAATAAGCCAATGTAACTTTATGTTATAGATTTATATATATTTAATATTTCACAATGATTATTGTAAGATATTGGTGTGAAATTGTATTTTAATCTTTAACAATCATTATTGTAACATGTTTGTGAGATTTATAATCTTTTTTATATAAACTAGGTATGTTCCTAGATTGTTGTAAAATGTTGATGAGATTATAATCTTTTATATATAAAACCAGGTATGTTTATAGGCGCACCCGAAGGTCAGGCCAAGAGGTTTAATTTAGGAATAAAAGAAGGGAAGGTGAAATGCCATAATTAGAAAGTAACGAGATTGGAGGGTTAATTTGGGGATAAAAGAAGCCAAGGTGAAATGACACAATTCAAGAAGTAACGAGATTGGAGGGTTAATTTGGAAATAAAAGAAGCCAATGTGAAATGCCATAATTGGTAGGTAAAGGGATTGGATGTCGACATTCAATTATTTCCAATTATACACTGTTAAAGACAATGGTAATATTGTTTTTTATGAAGGTTTTTTAATTTTATAAAATCAAACTAATTAGTAATCACAATACTCGAAATTAAACTCACGATAAGATGCGTCGCTAAACTTTAAACTTTTATGTATAATAAGAATTGCTTATTACCTCTTTCATCACTAACTTGATTTTGAATTAAATATGCAGAATAATTTAAAGACTATCATTATTTATACCAATTAAACAATATCATAGTACTTAAATAACATAATTACTACATACATGAAGCATAGGCCAAATGATCATAACCAATGGAAAATTACAACAATATCCTAATAAGAATATAAAACAAAATTCTATAACGGGCTAGAACGTTTCAAAATATAGTGTCTTGAAATGAAAACAAAATTTAAAATATAATCTTGTAACATAAAGAAACAAAGCAAGATGTTATATTAGATTAACAATGGACATATGTTGCTAACTTTTTGCATTTAAAACTAACATTCTAACAATAAATATGAACTACGATTTTAAATTATCGTGGCCTCACCAATGCCATGTCTTCTACACCTGTAACTCTTGGTTTCTGTTTGACAATTCAGGAGTGTTTTGGGAACACTACCATTGGTCTAGAATAAGGTTTTTGGATGAAAAACAATAACTAATACAAAATTATTTTTGGTTTTTATCCATAGCATTGAATGTAAAGAAGCTTGTTTGTTTAATGAATATGAGAAAAAACAAAATGCAATGCAACTAAATGAACCTAAAAGGAGTACCAAAGAAATGTATTAAATTCCAAAGTAGACAAGTCCCCCTTAGATATTTCCAATACATCAAACTAGCGCTGAACCCCATTTTACGGGGTCAAGTACACCAAAGAAATAGACAAAACAGGAAGTTTTTCTTGAGTTACATTGAACTGATTACATTAAATTGGTTTTGTATATGGAAACTGATTACTATCTTACCAATAACCAACTATAAAATAATAATTTTTTATCCTTAAGAAAAAAAATCATGGGAAATTCAAATTAATCCAGTTGATGAAGTTAGTAATGAATATCTGAATGGATCCACAACTAAATGAAAAGCTTTTACCATAGTAACTCGAGTGAATGATCCACCGAACTTTGATCTAGCACCAATAATTAAAAGCATTGTTTGCCTTCTTTTTTTCTTTTTCCTCTTCCATTAGACACTTAAGATCAATGGCAATAGCTTCTGCTTCTCCCTCCACGTGATGAACCAATGGACAAATTCAGTAAAGTTACAATAAAGTCAAAACATTAATAGAAACAATTTGAATGATTACATGAATAACTACCTTCATGGAAGCATCTACATGAGCTCCTGCAATTAGCTCAGGAACTTGGCACTTATATATGTAATAGAATGTCTCTAATAAAAGCAAATTATCTTGGCGAAAAACACCAGAGGAACCACCAACATGTTGTGTTAAAACTAAAATCAAATCCATCACATTCTCTTCAAACAACACTTCCAAGAATCAATCTCTAAGAAGTACAAATTCAGAAGCTAATCCACCAACTCTCTGTTGTGTGGTGATGTCTTGAACAGCTAAAATGTTGCTAAATAAAGTGACTACCAGCTGCACCAGTTTCCAGTCATCCTCAGTGAATGAATCCATCTTCAAACCCCAAAGATATTCAATCTGTTGTGGTATATCTTTAGATGTTGGATCAATTGGCATAGTAAGAAACACCAAAACCTTCACTGCGGTACTTAATCGAAACAACATCAACTTCTTGTCAAATTTCATTTCAAAATTACATGTTTGCCCGATATATAGGTGAGCATAAGATGTATCATTTTGTATTATTAAAAGCACTCAGGGTATTTGATGAATGAACAGAGTCATTTTACCAAACACATGGGATACATGTCAATTTTGAATTTCTAATATCGAAATTTGACTCTTTTTATACATAACTATAAACCAACAGTTATAGAAGTAATCACCTGCATTAAGCAACAATGTCGTATCATTTTGACATTGTTGGATTATGGGTGTAACATCCCCCTCTGGCACGTATCACAATATTGTCCGCTTTGGGCCACTCGACACGAGGACTTCCTAGGGGGTCACCCATCCTGGTACTACTCCCGCCCGAGCACGCTTAACTGCAGAGTTCTTATGAGATCTGCTGCCCTCACGGCTTTAAAACGCGTTGTGTTAGGGAAGGTATCCACACCCCTTATAAGGAATGCTTAGTTCTTCTTCCCAGCCGATGTGGAATCAGATCTAACCCACTTTCACCCCCCATTATAGGGTTCGACATCCCCGTCGAACACATCGACCCGTGCCCTGGCTCTGATACCAACTGTAACATCCCCAAAATCACGGCCAGAAAAGACCGATTTTGTTTATGCTTTATAGAAATCAGAGTACTTCATTTTATAAAAAGGTTGTGGAATTTGTTCCCAGAAAAACATGGTAAATACGTTATTAAAACATTTTCGAAGAAACGTATTTATTTCATTTTAAAACGTTTGGGATGTCATCGTTAATACCGAAACATAAGCATAAACAGAACTTACAATGATTTACACTAGTGATCTACATCTCTTTAAATCTCTCAGTGTAATGTCACTTCACTTCATCACCTGTGATATACATAAACTGAGTGGGTCAGGTTGGGAAACCTGATGAGTACATAGGGTTTTCAACCCATAATAATATAATTGTTATGTTCAATCATCAAACAATTAACCCCATTACCCATCCCCGTTATCTTCTTTACTCTTAAGAATTTAACCTAAGAGTCATCTATCCTGCACTTGTTTATTCCGAAGTCCCTTACTTCCAGAGCTATAGGACTGGCACTAAATCCATAGCTGCCGATGTTCGTTCATAAAGCACTAATTCCATAGCTGTTGTAGTCTATTCATCGGGTACCAAATCCATAGCTACCAGTCTTTATCTAATACGTACTAAGTCCATAGCTACCAATGTTCAACAGGTACTACGTCCATAGCTACCAATTCCCAACAGGTACTAAATCCATATCTACCAACGTCTAACACGTACTAAGTCCATAGCTACCGGTGTTTGTCCCATAGGCACTAAGTCTATAGCTGCCAATGTATACTCACGTCATCCTCTACCTCTCATCATTCATCTACCCATCATCATACCCAACATATTCGTATATAAAATACGTTATACAGTTTAAATCCTTTAAAACATGTATAAGATGTTCATCCAGCATAGACAGCAAGTATTCAGATAATATGCACACATAGCACGTAGTTTATATAAAATACTTCATATCTATGTGTAAGATGAAAGGGACTATGCACTCACCTGAGTAGGTGGTGACTCAGCACCCGGACAGCGCTTCGATACTCTCAAAACGATATTCCTTCAATAAAACCTAGTACCAATACCACTAAGGTTTAGTCTAACGATAACCGCGACAAATTAATTAGTCTGACTATTATTAAGCGTTAATAACGCTCAATACAACTCATAATAATAGCCCAAATAATTATTTTAAGGACCTAATAACATTCCTATAATTATTTGAAAGCTATATTAAAAACTACGTAAGCGTAGCACACTTACAGTGAATTTATCGAAAACCGGAACTTAATTGGAGCAGCGTTTCGAAACTGAAAGGCTCTTTTTCTCGGGACTCCGGAAGCCTCGGGGCTTCCCTCGAGGGCTAGGGGTTTTATCTAGGGCTTAGGGGTGTTTAGAGGTGCTAGAGAGAGAAAGTAGTGAGAGAAAGAAGAGGTTTTGGGGTGAAGAGAAATGGCAGCCTCGCACCTCAATTTATAGGGTCAGGCTTCGGAAATTACGCTGGGCGTACCGAGGGTACGCTGGGCGTACTCCTCGGGTATGGATGCCAGCCGAAGCCAACTGTCTCACACTCACCGGATGGATCAGACCGAAGTTACGCGGGGCGTAGCTTCTTCGTACGCGGGGCGTAAAGCGATGCTACGTGGCGTGATCCGAAGCGAAGACCGTGTTCAGCAAGCAACGGACCTGATCGAGCCACGTCATCATTTCGCAACAGATTTCGCAAATTCATACTCCGACTTCTAAAAATCATAACTTTCGCATACGAGCTCTGTTTTCGACGTTCTTTATATTCACGCGAAGGTGGGAACGTACTCTACAACTTTCATTTAGACATTGTCGGCTAATTTTGACTTGATTTTATATTTTATATTATTAACAGACTGGGACAGGATTGGTCCGTTAAAGCCTCATAACTTCTTCATCCGACACCCGTTTTCGC